TTAATATAACAATGATTACATACAAGCACAGAGAATCCACCCCCCCACCCCCCCACCCCCCCGCTTTCCTTGGAAGATGCACACAGTGAACTCTGCTTAGCGGGAGGCATGTACAACGGTAACATTTCTTATTTTCTTAAAATTATTTTTTACAGCAATGAAATATGAACATGCCTTTAAAGTTCCTTTACCCATACACCGTATAAATAAATAAATAAACACACAAATTTGACCAAAGACCCTGAAAAAGCCAGGCGTTCTTGCGTGCGCGTGAGACGGAATAATTGTTTTGTTTTTTAGAGGTACGCAAAGTCTCCACCATACACAATTATGGGGAGGCGCTGACTCAGTTGTTGGTTACAAGCTTATTAATTAGGTCGTTTACCCATTGGCGGTTAACATTTACTGCCATCACCATCTTTCACAGTCAAAGCACCTGCAATATGTACTATATATATACACACACTCACAGATGTCACAATCATGCACGCCTCCGGTGAAGAAGTGAGAATGCCAAAAAAAATACTTGCTAGAGTTCAAATAAAGGAAATTATGATAGCTTATGCACCGGAGCACATAAAGTAATTATAATTAACAGCAGACTGAAAATGTTGCATTTGTGTTTGTAATTGTGCTTGTTCCGACCCACAAAAGATAAAGATTCCCCCGTATAGACTTTACTGACTGTTGGGGCGAGTGCTGTTGGCCGGAGCGGTACACGAGGAGGTGGGTGGCCAATACCACGCCCGACCACCTTTGTCTCCCCAGTGACGATAATTACACCCCCTACCAGGTACTCATTTGAGGCTGAATCGACTTAGGGGAGGAGGCCCAGGACCGGTTCAGATAATCTTCACTTGCGTTGGCCGTGAGCAGGAATCGAACTCGGGTCGCCGCGTTCGTAGCGCAGCGCGCTAACCGCTACACCACCGCTCCCCACGCTCCGACCCACATCACCAACACCGCATTCCATCCCATGGCCAGTCCAGGCCACTTGCGACGGCTCCGCATTTTATCCACAATAGTAGTAGCAGCAGCAGTTCGTGCACCTCTCTCACTCCGCAACTCATCGCACGCACAGCTGCAAACATTCAAGGGTTTTTGGGTTGTTATTGTTTATGTTACCCACTGTTGCCACCTTTTCTGGTTCCACCCTCCCCCCCCCCCCCGAATCGTCCCTTTTAGAGGCAAATACATTAAAAGTATTTGTGTTTGTCAATTGTTTAATACAGTAATACACTGCTCAAGGGAATGCAATTGGCGTGTAACAATAATTCAACGCATTCGTCAATAACACTGCCGAAAAAGAAAAAAAATGTATAATAGGTGACGTTACGGGCAATGGGCCCTTTTTCATAATGGTATTTCTCCCCTCTTCTAGAAATTTTGAGATATTCTTATTCCCGCGATGGATAATAGTTTTGCATTAAAAAAAAAATGTTTTATTTATCTTTTACCTCGGAGGTGGCAAAACCTACTCCTGTCAGGGGAGTCGGAAAGACCTTTACACACCACGTCCACAGCGGGCGCGGGGCTCAACGAGAAGCCCCTTGCCTGGGTGACAGCAGAGCAGCCTTACCTCCCTGCCCTGCTTTCGACGGGACACACGGGGGGGGGGTCTGAGGTCTTAACCCCCCCCCCCCCCCACTGTGGGTGTGGTGCAGTGTGGTTAGTGATGGTGGTGGTGTAATCGAGAAAGAGGGGCCCAGGTGTATGGAGCGGGTCCGTTGCGCGCAAGCCAAGGTTAGGGGTTAAAATAACAAGAACAATAATAAAGAAATAAACCGCCCCGCCAAATGGAAGAAGTGGAACGTGCCTTAATTACTGTTTTCACCATATATGCACAGCGGTAGTCCTTGGGGCGAAAATATAATAATTGGGTTTAATGAACGCTGTCCTCGTCCAAAATGACCCCATCAGACACCGCCCAGAGTCTTTTTTTTGCGGCTTCTAGATTGTTTGTGTTTTTACAACTTTACGCCTCATCAAAAAATATTTTACGGAGCCAAATACGGAAAAAAACGACGTGTTTTATCCATAATAGAGGTTATTTGGGTGTTTTATGCATTAAAAATGGTATATTGCCAGGATTTCCAACGGCTTTACGACGCCACACTGTGTTTTGTCTATTTATTGTATTTATTGTATTTGCCTACTTTGGCAAGCGGTGGCGGATGCAGCAATAAAAGTAAGGTACCCTCACTGGGATAGCGAAAGAAGAAAACATTACAGGAGAACGCAAGACGACTGATGGTGATTGTTTACAACGCCTGTTCCTAACGCATTTATGTTAATTCCCCTAATTAGCTACATAAATAGAAATAAATCAACGCTTTCCAACGCATTGTATTTTAAGATTACTCATTAAAAATGTATAGTTCTGTATGTATTCGCCTTGGTGAGACAATGTACCTACTACTCAGGGTCATTATCCAAGCAATCAGTGTGAGCTGGGTGGCCCGGGAGGTTTGGGGGGGGGGGGGGAAGGGTTGCCGTTGTTGTATTGGTGTCCTTGTTCTATGGTGATGCACCACGGATCTCCTTTGCAAGCTAGCTGGGTAACTGGCTAAAACGGGACCTTCCATGTCACAAGTAAACATTGACTGTATCGGGCCACTGCACTTTGCACCTTTGGGATCCTGGGTTGAAGTTCCTGCAGCCGTTCAAAATGAAATCCCGTTTTCGGTCGCAGGGATGGCACGGTGCTCCTTCTACTCACCGACGACTGCACAAAATAACAATGAGGCGTTCATTTGGTTTTGCTTCAGAGTTCCGTTCCCTCTCCCCGCCCACCAGCTCTTCCAGGCTCATTCCCCAAGAATCAACAACACACAGCAAAATAACACCACTGTGCGCTCATTCAAAACAACTAAACGAACACAGCCTCAGGCCTGCAGAATATTCATATATACCTCAGATGATTTCATAGTGACAATTATCCATGATTTAATTTATTGTGAAAGTGTTTTCTGCGTGTCTGCAGCCCCATGAACGGCTGCGACCGCCGCTCCTGGCGGACAGGTCTCCCCACTAGAGGGCGGTATAGATGTCTAACCGAAGTCATGGAGCGGAGCTAGACAGGGTGGTTCAGATGTCCTGTGACCCCCCCCCCCCCCACAAAATAAAAAAAATTAACCCCCAATATAGTTTTTATTCCCCCTTTGCATATTCACTTCTGTTTTAAATAAACCTTACTTTCAAAAATAGTATCACGTTTTAGAGAATAAAAAAATTGGTGGTCACAAGACACCTGGACCATGCCCCTGGTAGCAAAACCCCCCTTCGAGAGGGCTTACTTTTAGCCTGATCTTCCACGCTGGTCAGACACTTTGCGAGAGGTGGTGAGCACCCACACTCGACACTGTTACTACCCCCCCCCCCCCACGCATAACTCGCAGTCAATCTCAACCACGACTTGCGAAAAAATGCGAATGAAACCGTTGAAAAACCAAAATTGGTGGGAAAATCGTTGGAGAACAAAACTAATTATATTCCTTTTCACTCTACCGTAGAAAGGTTTTGTGTCCGAAGAGACAAACGTTGTTTTGTATGCAGCATAAAAACTCGGAATGCGCTGGCGGTTTGCATATTGGATGTGAGACACCGCTGTGAGACAATACCCCTAAACTTTAACGGCCTCCACTTTTCGTTCTAATAATCTTCACCCCGCCAAGCAAACTCTACGCTCATTAAAGCTACACCACCTCGTTCCGCCGCTTCGCTTGTGTGCGCGCCTCCATCGATTAAAAAAAAACGCTTTCACCATTTACTGTGTGAGCCACGATAACACAATGTATATGCAATGTACATTACACATCAACGTTTCATATATATAATGCATCTGTAGATTTGAACCTTGTCGAAACACATAACGCCCGGCACAACTGCTTATGAAGTCTGATTTAAATCTCACGTTTCCACCCCCCTCCCCCCCTATTATTTTTTACAGAATACGAAAACAGCATTGGAGCAAAAACAAATTCTGTGCAGTGAAGAGTGCTACCAAACGATATCCGCATGGAAATTCCGGTGACATTGAGCACCTTACCCTATTCCCAATGGAATAGCTATGGGCCAGATTCATATCACAGGAGCACTCCCCTTACCCCTGACCCTATCATCCCCGGGAGCTGTAGGGCCTGCAAAAATAGTCATTACACTGTGTAACAAAACCATTCTTTTTGTTCCTAGGGTAGTAAGTGTTATTTTCCAATTGCTTATGCCTCAAAAGTACAGAAAATGGCTATTATTCCCCACAAACTTTGCTTTTGTGACCAGGACAATGATATTTAGAAATGTACCTATTTTCAATGAGAAAAACGTGGTGTGCATGTGTCACTCCTTCACGTAAAGTCCTGGTCACAAAAGCAAAGTTTGTGGGGAAAAATAGCCATTTTCTGTACTATTGAGGCATAAGCAATTAGAAAATAAAACTTACTACCTAGGAACAAAAATCGTGTTACATAGTGTTATCTGCGGTACTATTCTTCCTATGATCTGTGATCATCAATGATCAACGCAGATTATAGGAATAAAAATAGAGCTGCGCTGCCGAGTTATCGATTGAACAATGCGTCTGATTCACGAAATATGTGCGTGTTAGAGAATTGTGTATATTATTATTTTGACGTGATATTTGCCATCATTTTCCTGTGAAGTGGCTTTCTGTTATCCGCTATTTAATAGCAGATAAAGAGGCGTCACATGTAGTTTCGTACTATTCTCTGTGGGTTATCCACAATTTTTCACATTGGATAAGTGCGGTAAAATCGCGGATAGCCCTGCGTATAACAATATTCATGGCTAACAGGAGTTCTGTACTCTGCGTTTACGGTTCATGGAGCTTAATCCTTGTCGGGGAAATCGCTAACTTTGTTGCGATTCTTCTCAGGTGTGCGCCGAAATATTATTGTTCGCAATAAGGTTTGTTTTCTTACTGCATCGGTTTTCATTTTTTTTACCTTCATCTCTCTCTGTCTCTCCCTTATTTCGCACACCCATGGTGGCTTGGATATATTTCATTAAAAATTGACGAAGGCATCTCTCCCAGGCCCACTGTTCAAGGGACAAAAAGGGCTGACATTTCCCCTAAGGTAGACTCTAGGTGAGCAGAGAGCCGCGGATCGGCCGGTCTGTCGTAAACAAGGCTCTGCTCGGGGAGCTGTCATGAATACAAATCCCCCGTGTCTATCGCGAAATGCAGAGTGTAAGGATGTTGTCGCTTGTTTTAATGCCACAGCATAAGGTCAGGCTTTCATTCCCTCCCTTCGCCGGCAATACGCTTAAGTGTGCGCTGCATAATCTCGGGACGCACACGCGCCCGCTCAAGATGCATTTTTAACCATTTGCAAGTCCCCTTTGGTCGGCGGGGGGGAGGAGTGGGAGGTGGATGCTTAGGGGGGACAGGTGGGGTGGGGGGAGCTTCATAGTAAAACTAAAACTCCCCTACGTTTCGCAATCGAACACGTCTGAGAGGACGAAGAAGACGTGCTTTTTTTTCTTTCTTCCTGTCCGAACAGATCATTTGCACAGTTTCCACGGCACTCCAACAGATGAAAAGATCAGCGAGGCCATTCAGCGCCAACAACCGCCTACGGGGGACCCGCGTCATTTGGCGCGACGGACCCCCCACCCCTCCAGCCCCCCTCCCCCCCCCTCCCGCCACCAACGCCCATTATAGCGGAGCGCGGCCGCTATTTGCCGCGACCTTCTGTAAGGTTAAACCGTCTCGTTACCGAATGCCGACATGAACGACAGTTGCATGCTTTCAGCGTTTCTTTAATGCCTCCGCATGGTAATGGGGTCAGGGGCGTTTTGCGGCGGTGGCTGCGGTAGCGGGGGCAGCGGGGGCAGCGGGGGCAGCGGGGGCAGCGGGGGCAGCGGGGGCAGCGGGGGCAGCGGGGGCAGCGGGGGCAGCGGGGCCAGGGCAACCGCCAAGTGCGGTGCGCGGCCCGGCGTCCGGAGAAGGGGGGGGGGAGGGTACCGCAGAGCGCACGTCCCGTTAAGAGGAGTCCGTCCGAGATGAGCTCGTTAACGCGCGGCTCTCAGGTCGCCGCTGACGAGGGGAAGCCCCGCGCCTGGGTTAACGTGACGCGTTAATTATGCCGGGTAACGGGCGGCAGCGGCGGCGCCGGTGGCTCTTCTTCTTCTTCGATGGCACCCTTCGTTCTGCGCGAGGTCGCGCCGCACTCCTTCTCCCCGACCCGGCTGCACCGAATTGGTCAAGCGCACGCGAGTTGGGGTTGGGGGGGGGAGGGGAGGAAATAATAATACAGGGAGTCATCGTGATTGCGTTGGGATGGGGGTCATTGAAGCCACGACATTTTAGTCTTGCGAATTCAGATGTGCAAGACCGTCCGGTTACTCAAGGCTTTTTCACGGTCAAGCGATGCGTTTCCTTGCCAGCTCCGCTACCCCGGTCCGCGAGCGTGAAAGTCAGGTGTCTCAATTCCTGCGTACATCTTTAGGGTTCCCCGACACATTTTTGCCTTTGCTCGACACAGTCGTTTAACGCAGCCCATCTCTGGATGGCATAGAGCGCATGGTTTCATAATCCTCGCATCTGCATGCCCAGCACGTTCTCAATAGCACGGGGCCTCCATGTTAAGATGGTTTCAAGACGAAGATAGCCATTGGCATGAGCGTGTTTGACATGGGGCCCTGGTGCAAATTACGAAATGGGGGGCCTCCCCCCTGTCCAATTCCCCCCCCCTCCCCCTTCTTCATAGCCTGGCGCCTGGAGCCCCTCTGACCTGTTGACCTCTTGTGCAGTTGCACTGCCTGCACACTCGAAGAAGAAGAAGGTGGCGTCCATCCCAGCCTCCGCTGTCACAGAGGCAACAATCGAGAGTGGAATCGCAAAGGCAAAGAAGACGGGCCAGGCCGGACATTCCACTCCACAAAGACGCAGGATGGCGATAGGGTTGCCACCTATCCCGGTTTGCCCAGGATCATCTTCTTTTTTGAGGCAAATCTGCAAGTCTGCGCCAGGACGCTAAGAGCCTCGCTTTTAGTCCGATGCGTAAATAGCGCAAGCGCACTTGAGAGGCAACGCGTTTACACCGTAGCTCTGCCCACTCTCGGCATTGTGAGAGATAATCTTCTTCCCTCGGAGTGTTCCCGGTTTTTCCGTTGTCGTTGTTGCTGTTGTATCTCAGAGAGGTGGTAACCCTAGACGGCGAGCCGTGAGGGGTGGGGGGTGTTCGTTCAGACGACGGACGGAACCTGGCGGAACCGGCCGACCGGACCGGCGGGAGAACGGCCGCTCGGAGATCACACGGCGCCGTTTTCTGGTCGGGGCTTTGGCGAGCCGGCGACGCTCGCCGGGGCGCTGGTGGGGATCTGCACGGAGGGCGCCAGCGTGCAGAAGAAGCCGGCCAGGAGCGTGAGCCCCAAGCCGCCCCACGCGCAGAACATGGACCAGCCGTAGCCGTGCGTGACGTCCGGCGGCAGGCCGTAGAGGCCGCGCGGGTATCGTGACAGCTCGAAGTTGATGCCGGCCACGCACGTGCACAGCGAGATGATGCAGAAGGTGCCTGGGAAGAGAGGGGGAGGGGGATACAATGAGACAGACGGGCAAAGGTCACCGAGTCTTCGTGTCTTGAACGAGACCACAGGGCGCCAGCGATCGTCTGTGTTGGAGACCCCCGCTGGGTGTGTTGATGATAGACGTTTAACATTTAAATACAACTCGGCCATTTCCTCCTGAAATGAATATTGGGGTGGTGCTGATCTCCCGTGGTCACAGCCCTAGGCCAGTGGTGGATGTGGCACGTTTCTGCTGTGGGGGCACATCTATTCATGCAGCAACTGCTGATGATCTTCCCACAAAGTGGTACTCGTTAAATTCAGCCCGGCGGGATGATGGGCCGAGTCCACTCCCAACCAGGATTTGAACTCGCCTCCTTAGTGATTGATTACCGATTTCAAGCGTCGCTCAACAATGATGTTAGCTGTGGTCGTGAATCAAACGGAGGTCGCTGGAGTTCATGGTACAGTGAGGCTACCGTTCCACCCGGATTGCATATTGGGGAGGACAAATTAATTTGGTCTTGTTCAAGTTCACATTAACCTAGCCACACTCCAGTTGAAATTGACATTGGCCAAGTGCCATCGTGAGAGATGGGAGTCAAACACTGGGGCATGCAACGATATTTTTACGCTCATGATAGGATTCAATGACTCGCCAGACTGCGACTGCAGTGAGGTGCAAACAATGAGGCATATCAGAGTCAGAATCTTTATTTATACTGGAGGAGGAATCCGATGAGCTGTAAACCTCTCTTTCACAGATGTCCAGTCGGGCCAGGTAAAAAAAGTTACAACAACAAACAGTTACAAACACGTGATAGTAGTGCAAGGTACAAGAAAGATAAACAAATCACCCAAAGGGCATACAAATAAAACTAATTCATCCCCAGCCTACCAGGCAAAAGCCCACTGACGTATTAACTTATTTCTCAGAAGTGACTTGGCCACAAATGTTAGCTCAACAAAACGGCCCATAATTTTGACATTTATAGCAGTAAAATAATATAAATCATCTCAATGCATATCCCTGACGACTGCCCCAACGCAACAAAGCTGTATGCTGTTGGAACAAGTGGACCACGCCACTCGGCTGTCATCCCCGGATGCCGTGGACTGGCTCACAAAATTTAACTTGACAATTTGTAGCCCTGCTGATTTTTCCAAACGCCATGCCAAAAGATGAAGACGCTCTTGGCAGAGTTATCAAATCTCCCGTCATAACAACTAATTATCTCCAATAACGTTACAATTAGGCGTAACGGAGCGAACAAAAGGGGACTAGCGAAAGAGAAAAGAAACAACAAATAATACTTATGAGATGGTAACAACGAGACAAAAGAGGAACTATTATTGCACTGAATGGAAATCAAGAATTGTGGCAAATCGTAGAATTGCTTTACAGGAGGTTAAAATATAAATACGCTTTTTTTAAAATAGGTAAGACTCACTGAATTACTAAATTGCTCTTTCTCAGAAGTGACCTCGCCACAAATGATAGCTCAACAAAGTGGCTTATCATGTGGACATTTATAGCAGCCAAATACTCTAAACGTACGTTTCTAAACATGGAGGCCAAAACCGGAGGATCCGGAGAAATATCCACACGGGGAGAGAGACGTGCAAACTCCAACTATGCAGGTATCAGGATCGGGATTTAACCCACGACCTCCTGATTATGAGGCGAGGTAGTTAACATCTCGCCACCGTGGTGCAGGGGTATTGAATCATTTCATTTCTATAAACGAGTCCTGTCTTGTTAGTAGGGGGCCATTGGTTAAATCAACCCTTGCATTGATAATGGTAAATTTATTTTCCATGTCGTTCCATTTCCTTAATGTCATCGTGACATTTAGCTTGCGGTTCGAGTGAGCAATGTACATGTAGTTAGGCTGAAAGTGGCACAAATTAATTTCCCGAGGCCTCGTGGTCTCGGCAAAACACGCTTGTAATTAGATCGCATTTCATTCTTTCGCAACACCTAATAAAGACACTGATATTGCCGTGATGCGCGTGCCGTGGCAGCAAGCACAACCTTCACAGTTAACGGGTTTCTTTCTCTCCACACGCTCATACCGTCTAAATCAACGAAGTGCCTGGCAGTCTCTTTAGCAACTTGATACAATAAAAAAACGCACACCACACGCCACACACCGCACATCAATTATGACTAATTGAGGTGATTTATGGGGCGCGCTGTTAGCATCGGTGATATAATAAGGGAATGTGGAAATGTCACCAGTTTAACGACCGGCCGCCGTGATTGCGCGTGCGTCTGCGCCGATGTCATTCCGTAAATCACGACGTCGCCGCCGAGGAAGCCAAAACAAGGGAGGCGCGGGACGCGACGACGTGTTCTGTGCGCACGATGAACTTCTTTCACACCGCACGTAGCCAAGCGCGCTAAACGGAGGTGCACGGCAGTGGAAGAGAACAACAAACTAATAGCGATGAAGCGTCACGCGATGAAGCGTCACGTGATGAAGCGTTACGCGATGAAGCGTCACGCGATGAAGCGTCACGCGATGAAGCGTCACGCGATGAAGCGTCACGCGATGAAGTGTCACGCGATGAAGCGTCACGCGATGAAGCGTCACGCGATGAAGCGTCACGCGATGAAGTGTCACGTGATGAAGCGTCACGTGATGAAGCGTCACGCGATGAAGTGTCACGCGATGAAGTGTCACGTGATGAAGTGTCACGTGATGAAGTGTGACGGCGCCACCGACGCGGTCAAGGACGTGGCTGTGGCGTCGCGGTAAGGAGCACGTACTAAGGCTTCAGTGGTGAACCCTGAACGATTGGGAACTTTGATTGATAATTTTGTTGTTGTTGTTGTAATCCTCTATCGGCATGTGCGTTGACAGGCCCATTCAGAACCCCGCAGCAGCCCCGTTCGTGCTGCGTGGTTTGCACACCACACGTGCAGGCAAGGGTGGGCTTTGGATGTGAACCAGTGGATGATTTATGTGGGTGGGGGGGGGGCATTTGGGGGGTCGTAGGGGCCCAGCCACTGCAGGTGTCGTGTGTGCTTGGACTCCCCCCGTCCCCAGCATTTTTTTTAAAGATATGACCAAGAGACTCCCACAAATGTTGGACAAAAATCATGTTGGGTTTGGGATCCCTTCAACCGTGCGACAGAAAGATGCCAATCGTGCTGCCGGCGGAAGCTATGCACACACGGCGGCGCGCTAACGGGAGCCTCAGCACTGAGTTCAGGAGCCAACAGATGAAATGTCGATGTAACAACAGAGGCCGCCTCCTCCTGTAAGCTGTGACCAAGAGTCGCGTGGCGCTTCACGGATCCGTCACCACCGGGAACCATTCCCTCATCACGGAGGACACCGCCAACTTCCAGAGTGTTACTGCTCCTCTGGTTGGTGGTGGGGGGGGGGGGGGTGCCGTGCAACCCCGAATGAATCCACAGTGCCTCCTGTAAACTCCACCCCCGCCCTCAGAATCAGAATATTTATTTATACTGGAGGAATCCGATGAGCTATAAAGCTCTTTTTCACAGATGTCCAGCAGGGGCGGGTAAGAACGCCACAACAACAAACAATACAAAAAATACGATAGTCGTGCAAAGTACAGCAAAGGTAAACAAATTACCCAAACACATACAAATTAAACTAAACCATCCCCATCCTACCAGGCAAAGCCTACTAAGGTAGTCACTTATTTCTCAGATGCGACTGATTAATAGGCAGCTCATTGGGGTGGGTGGGGAGGCACTTGAGTTCAAGGTCAATGGGTCATCATGGACCATGCCATTGATGCCATTACCACTACCACCACCACCACACTTCATCATCGCTTCCTTCCTTCTGCCAGATCGCACAATCATTTGTATTGTGAATAGCCGACTCCTCGAGCACTTACAATCCCCTGCATGTTTATATGTACTGCTACAACCCTTACTGTACAACCCTCACCGTCAACCCACGACTGGGTCTCGTCGTGCGGGGGGCTAGGCAGGGGGGGGAATTATTCGATCATAATCCACCAAGGCGGATCAATGTGGATCGGCGAGAGATCACTCGAAGCCGCTTCAAGACTTGCTGCCTACTTGCGTACAGCACGGTATCATGAAATAACCGATGTCGATCTCAGAAGCGGGCCTGTGTTTTCGAACAGCAGGGGTTGCACTGCTCTGCGAGAGACCCAAATGGATGCACCATCTCACGACATGTGCCGCTGATGGAAAAAAATTAAGCGTGGGGAAAGACAAAAAATTGAAAGAGCTGACCAGCGAATGGGGTGACCCGGGCAGGTGCTCGCTTGCGTGAGCATACATGCAGAGTGTTGCTTGCGTGAAGATGCGGAGCATGCTTGTGTGCGTGCGGAGGGAACGTGCACACGGAGTGTCCTCGTGTGCATGCTCGTGTGAGCACGTGCGTGCAGAGCGTGCTTGTGTGCGCGGGGATTGTGAGGTGCCTGCGGAGTATGCTTGCGCGCGTGCATGCGGAGGGAGCGTTCGTGTTGATTGTGCGCGTGCTTGTGTGAGCATGCGTGTGGAGCGTGCTTGTGTACGTGCGGAGGGAGCGTGCAAAAGGAGCGTGCGAGCGTCTCACCGCCCATGAGGAAGAGCAGGCCGGCCACGTACTGCATGAGTCCCCTCTCCCAGCAGCATCCCAGCACGCCTAGCACCCAGCCGAACAGCAGGATCGCCACCGCCATTCCCAGGAAGCCCGCCGTCATGCGCCGCAGGTCTGGTCGACAGCACGCACACAACATGGCCACCACCGTTAGTAACGACATCATCACCACCGTTACCACCGCCACCATAAGCGACGTCATAATCATCACCACCACCATTAGCGAGGCCATAATCCCCACCGCCACCATTAGCGACGTCATAATCATCACGCCACCATTAGCGACGTCATAATCGCCACCGCCACCATTAGCGACGTCATAATCGCCACCGCCACCATTAGCGACGTCATAATCCCCACCGCCACCATTAGCGACGTCATAATCATCACGCCACCATTAGCGACGTCATAATCGCCACCGCCACCATTAGCGACGTCATAATCGCCATCGCCACCATTAGCGACGTCATAACCGCCATCGCCACCATTAGCGACGTCATAATCGCCATCGCCACCATTAGCGACGTCATAATCGCCATCGCCACCATTAGTGACGTCACAATCGCCATCGCCACCATTAGCGACGCCATAATCCCCACCGCCACCATTAGCGACGTCATAATCGCCACCGCCACCATTAGCGACGTCATAATCGCCACCGCCACCATCAGCGACGTCATAATCGCCACCGCCACCATTAGCGACGTCATAATCGCCACCGCCACCATTAGCGACGTCATAATCGCCACCGCCACCATTAGCGACGTCATAATCGCCACCGCCACCATTAGCGACGTCATAATCGCCATCGCCACCATTAGCGACGTCATAATCGCCACCGCCACCATTAGCGACGTCATAATCGCCATCGCCACCATTAGCGACGTCATAATCGCCATCGCCACCATTAGCGACGTCATAACCGCCATCGCCACCATTAGCGACGTCATAACCGCCATCGCCACCATTAGCGACGTCATAATCGCCATCGCCACCATCAGCGACGTCATAATCGCCACCGCCACCATTAGCGACGTCATAATCGCCACCGCCACCATTAGCGACGTCATAATCGCCACCGCCACCATTAGCGACATCATAATCGCCACCGCCACCATTAGCGACGTCATAATCGCCATCGCCACCATTAGCGACGTCATAATCGCCATCGCCACCATTAGCGACGTCATAATCGCCATCGCCACCATTAGCGACGTCATAATCGCCATCGCCACCATTAGCGACGTCATAACCGCCATCGCCACCATTAGCGACGTCATAACCGCCATCGCCACCATTAGCGACGTCATAATCCCCATTGCCACCATTAGCCACGTCATAATCGCCATCGCCACCATTAGCCACGTCATAATCGCCATTGCCACCATTAGCCACGTCATAATCGCCATCGCCACCATTAGTGACGTCATAATCGCCATCGCCACCATTAGTGACGTCATAATCGCCATCGCCACCATTAGCGACGTCATAATCGCCATCACCACCATTAGCGATATCACAATCACCACCGCCACCATTAGGGACGTCATAATCGCCACCGCCACCATTAGCGACGTCATAATCACCACCACCACCAACACCATGAGCGAGTTTATCATCATCGCCACCGCCGCCATCAGTAACGTCATCATCACCACCGTCACAGCGTCATTGCTACAATGCTATCACCACCGCTCTCATTGAACGCATGTGCCAATTCATTTCTCCCATTGTGTCGATGCTTTGCTCCAATTTGGTGGGTCATGATTCATTGCAAGAATTGCCTTGTCTCGCTCGTATCATCTGCAATGCATATTCTTCTGTATTATTCGTGATGTCTTGGTCTATTAGTGCATACGTTCATTTGCATGATATTTTCCTGAATTCTAAATAATAGATTCCTCGCTGTGTGATTCAATGCACGTATTTGTGAGCATAATAATTGATTTAATTAATTGTCATCATTTACATTGCTAATAGCACAGAAATCGCTATTACCATCAACAACGCCATCTAAGTTACGACCATAACCACCACTTGAACCATCAACATTGTTATTGCTACCACCATGCCCAGCGCGAAAACCATGGCAGGCATCGTCATTAAAACCATCAACGCCCCCAGTCATCATCGTAATCATCACCACCAATACAGCCATCACAATCTTCTTCATCCTCATCATCACCACCACAATAATCATCACCACTGACATCATTATCACTACCATCAACAGCCGTCGCTATAACCATTACTGCCAATATCACTATCGTCTGTGCGACCAACACCACCACCGTTCCTGTTATCCACATAACCTGTTATATTAATGGGTTGAAATGTTGTGTATTCTTCATTTTAAATTAGACGGATTTCTGCTACTCAACAATGGCGAAAAGGCTTTATTAATATTATTATTATTTATGTATTATCATTCGGATGCCTGATCTTCCACTCACTCGCTCACTCGTCACTAGTCTGCCTCTGCTTGAGAGGCACGGCTTAAATTAAATTATTCGTCTGATATTTTATTCATGTTTCGGTGCCCGAGTAGAATAACGGGAAGTTAAAGTTAAATTCTCCACTTTCCTTCCAGTCCTTTACAGGAATAGAAAAATTAATCTTGGTGTGTGCGTTGTTTGTTGACGGCAGAAACAGAGGGATGATTTTTTTTTCAAAATAAATAAAACCACGTGGTTGATATTTCAAAAGAAAGCCCGAGACCCAAAGGGCCAATTTTATCTTTCGCAGCCCACGGAGGTCTATTAGCTGTTGTATTAGCTGAATTTAAAAATCGCGTTATTGCCCCAATATATTATATGTCCTGGCTAATCATTCTTACGAGGGGGGCGCGGAAATCAATGTGGTTTCCTTCTCTGAAAATTAGCCTGATGCTCTTCCTCGCTTGGGTGGACTCCATTGCATTTGATCAATGGCCTACTTTGATTGGTTTTAATCAAAGACCTTCCTGGCACTTTCCATTATGGCCCATTCCAAGTAATAATAATCAAAACGACAGCGGCAAACGGCTACTCTCGCAAACGCGCGAGGAACGAGAGTTGTCGGGGGAGAAGGACGCGAACGACGTCCGAGACAAAGAGGGTAAAAGGTTCAAGCGGAGGGTGCAGCCCACGCCACTGCTGGTGGAAGGATCTTCAGAAGCGGCAGCTCTCTAGTGCCCCTCCGGAGGGTATTTAGGCTATTCTTCCACACTCGCCTGGCCTTTTGAAAGAGGTGGGAGCATCCACACGTTGTAGTCCCACCGCAAGTGACCCAGCCGATCGCCCCAACAGTGGTTGAACTCATTTATGCTGCTGGGTGGACAGAGGCTCTGGTACGGGGCATTTAAGAAGCTTGCCCCCCGTTGTTGCAACTGATGAGCCGGGAGAACCAGTCGAATAGGCTACCTGTAGATGCTGCGAACCATTACACCACCACCGCCGCCATCGCCGTGGCAGCATCTTAAAATAAGTAGAGCAACGTCAATGCTTTCGGAAGGCGACATTACAATTGGCCTCATTCCCGAGGCAACGAATCGGCAGCATGCAATGACATGTAAATCATATCAACCAACCGCCTCGCCCTGGCACGAACAAATCCCTTTGCGATTCCACCAATATCAGCTGTCGGGTAAAAATGCTCCCAATGCCACCCGCCCCTCCCCCCCGTGTGACGGCATCATTTAGAGTGTAGAGCTCTACGGAAAAGGAAAATAATCACTGGAAATTAATTAATTGAAAAAGCGGTCTCATTACAGTGTCGGAAATTTCATGAAATACCAAGAGAGGATCCGATCGCCACTCTTTGTGGTGAGAGAGAGCAGGCTCCGATTGCAGGTCGGCCCGAGAAGATGGATAAATCGTGAGTGGAAGAGCCAGGCCAAAGTAAATTAGGCTGACAATTCTCCCCCAGCACAATTTGTTTTGCTTATAAATGGCCCGTCAAGCCGATATCTCCCGCTATGAATCAATGCGAAAGGGGGCCTTAGCTGCGTATAATTTTGTAGCCACATCCGATAAGAGGACCCCCTGAACATGCCATCGGCACGTTGGACAAAAAAAAACTATCCACGGGGTGTCCTCGTCAGCACGGATTAGCTCCTTCGTCGCCGTGATAAATTGGCTCTTCCAAACCGACGTTGAAACTTTTTTTCCCCCCGTTGGTCGAGGTTTAACCGCATTTTACAAAGTCTGTAGAAGCGGTCCCCCAGTGCGGAATATTTTTTGTTGTTTTTAAATTTTGAAGCCGCGGTGTTCCGCTTACACGGTTTTTCACACTCTTCACGCACACATCGCGATATTTCAAGAACTTTCCCAGCAAGGTGTTCATTACAAGCAGCACGACCAAGAAACAAAATCTGATATTAGCTGCGCTACTTGAGAGGATTCTAACGCTATTACTTCTTGGCAATTTATACCGTGCTCAATATTACCCTGCTCATTACAGCAAAGGGAATGTCACTGTGGTGTCGACCCATTAATTGGGGCGGGCCCCCTTTCAATATAAAATATCCTGGGGGGGCTGACAGTAGAGATTACAGAGAAGAGATAGAGATGAAGTGAGATGAGAAGAAAGGCGCAGACAAGGTAGAGATGACAGAGATTCATTTTTATGTTATCTTACGCCTCTTAGGATATTAATTTTAGGTGATATACAATGCACCACCCGAATATGCCACGAATCCAAGGCCCCTTGAGATACTTAGGACCAAAGCTTTTACTTGAGTTTGCTTTTGCCTGGCACCGCCACTCTCACCGTGATAGTCAGCTCTGTCACGGCACTCACATCAGTTTCATTTTAAATAGGTTCAGGAGCCTTCTTTGAGGCTACAAAATTCAGCAGAGATCACAAAACTTGAAACCATTTTTTCGTCTCTGCAATACAGGGGAGGGGGGGGGGGGAGCGTGGGTCTATCGCAAGCCGCGCGAGCCGGCCGTTCCAAGAGGGGCCGGAAGGGGACCGGTTGCTGAAAACGGAGTGGTTTATCTCTTGCCGGAATCCCCGGCAAGGCCGTTGTGTCTCTCAACGATCGCGGCGGTTTTTGAAACGGCCGCGACAGCCCAACGGAGTCGCGCCGCGTGTTAGAGTCACGCTGCGTGTTAGAGTCGCGTCGCGTGTTA